AAAGCATATAAATGAAAAAATTTGTTGAACAAAACTTAATACATTTTAAAAAGCTACCTCCATTTAATATGATGTAAAACAAACACTAAATCGACATTAGTTTTTAATTAATAATTTGTGTGTTACTCGTGTTACTCGCAATATTTACAAATGATATTCGATTTCTCATCGTGTAATATTATTTATAATATATTTTAGCTATATTTCCATTCACTAAAATATTCTACGGGATTGAGGCCATATTGATTCTATTATATTGCCGCTACGTAGATGAACACGCATATATCTATGAAATATAGAGGGATGACGCTTACCACACAATAACAATTAATTTACTAACAGCGACAAACCTCACGCAACCGATGCTGATATTTGTGTGTATAATAATTCATTAGTGAACCAAAACAATACAAGAAGAATCATTATTAGCTATCATTAATTAATTGTTAATTATCAAATATCATAGTCGGTTAAATGATAATGAAAAATATTGAATTTAAACAAAGCATTTAACACTTCCACAATACAAAAACTACGCAATATAATACTTAAATAAAATAATAACTTTTGCAAAAAATTTTGTAAACTTTACATTTTTTTAAATATCAATCGAGCTTTGCCATTTCTACAGTTGTCGATCGCTTCTACATTAGGTGGTATTTGTGGCATAACTATGAGCGACGTTTATAATAGCAGCATTGTTGTGTCAATCATTGTTGCAGCTATGCGAGTTGGTTCAAATAAAACGTCGGCGACGCTTTTGCGTGATATCCGAGGGTTTGAAACGGTGTGAAGGTGAGGAAGTGCGTAGGTTGCACCGCGAAAAGTATTCTGCTGCAAAAATCAGAGCAGAGTAGGACGAACGACATTGAAAGTGAAAGTGGGTCGTAATATCGGTTGCGGATGACACAGGACCTGTTTTTAAATAGATTACGAGGTCGATTCTAGATACTCGCATGCGCGAGCAGACTAATTAATTACAGAAACAATAGCTAGAAAAAGTTCTGTGTATATATTTCAATTAAAAAGTAAATTTAATAAATGAAAATTTTTAAGTTACCTCCATTCGTACCGGCCGTCCCACACTATTTTACTTTATTCATAATTATTTCGTACTGCGTTTTGCACTTTTATTATTATCCTTTGTATTACGAATTAAATTAACGAATTGTATATACTTTTTCATTACAAAAAAATTCTGAGGTGTCGAAATATTTCACTCATTGTTATCCGACCTTTATATTCACGGTTCCCATAAGTATTGAATCGAGCGTTTTTATAGTAAGCAAGATATATACGCGTTCCAGGCCGAGTATTTATTCAAAAAGAATCCCGAGGGAAAAATGTTCAAGCCGGATTATATGGAAACAACGAGCGTGCTCTTGGATGCTATCGGCCAGGAGAAAAACGATGTCCTTCCGAGGGAAGAATTGTCGGCTGATGTAGCGCAATTTCTGAAGAGGCAGAATGAATTATCCACCGCAGATGAAATAGAAAAAAAGGAAGTGTAAAACGTAAATAGAGAAATAGAAGCGACATCAATTCTTGAGCAGATTTCCGCGTATAAAAGGATTGATGGTTTCAAGAAGAAAGAATAAAATGAACAAAGTTGAAACTTAACTTATTTGTCCATTTTTATAACTTTTAGATTTTAACTTTTTATTAATCTTTTGATCACTAAGTGTTTGAAATAATGCGACAAAGAAAAATGCAAATGTATCTTAAATATTGATGATATATTACTAAGTTTTAATCTTGTGTTTACTTTGTTATTTTGTTTCAAAGATATAGAAAGAGAATGTAAGCAACGCAGTAACAAAGTTCAACTTGTTTGAAATTACAAATTTCTAAAGCGGTTTAAAAGGCATCCATAAAATTTCTTTGATATTCAATATCATACTTCATACACAATAACTTTGTTGACTTTGCGAACGTGACGACTTTCTTATGCGAAAGTTATTTTTTAACCCAATAATTCCAATGTTCATCCAAACGTGACGTTGTCTTTAGACGCGTGCAATGCAGACTAAATATAACGTGACGTACTTAAATAGTTTTACTATGTATTTTTTTTTTTTTTTTTTCAAATTAAATTACGGATTCGGCGCTCCAGGAATAATGCAATCTTTGTAATTTGCTACTCGGATTTGTCGAGTGTACAAAATACACTCGTTCCATCATCCTCGTTCATATTTGATTTCGGTCTTAAGCACTCAGGTTATTCCAGTATGCAACAAGCAGACGTTTCAAGCTGAGCGTTCGAAGTGACGCCCACTACGGATTTACCTCTTGGACGTGAGAGAGGATACTCTAATAGTCACACACATGCATGGTCCGATTGCACTTGGAGGAACGAGAAGTTTCACAAATTTCAATTCCTTGTTGAATATTCGCGCTACAAGTTACATTTTTTTTTTGAAGAAAAAAAGTGGCGTGTCAAAAAGAGCTTAATTAAGAAGAAACCTTTCTATGCAAGTATCTATAACTCATACAAGAGCGATCTTACGAGCAAACTTTAAGTCCTTGGCCATTGTGACTATGAAAAGTTGCATAACTTTGCGATTCTGAAAATTGTTGTAAACATTAAGAATACAATATAGAATGCTAAATGAATCGTTTTATACAAATTGTACGATGTGATATACAACTGTTTTTATCGGGCTATTAAAGTGAGTCTTTAAAGATAAACTTGCTAATGGAAAAAAGTTTCATATCATTCTTTTTACAACGGCATTATCATTTCTTTTATTAGGGAGATAATAAAATTTGAATTATGACATTAATATCACGGTATTCCGATAAAATATTACATTTTATTAGCTTTTGCAGACGATCAATCATGTACTGTTCCGCTTCGATCGACGGAAGTTATTTTCTGAATGGGCTTCGAGCCATACCTAATTTTCAGTTCATTACTCTCAAGGCTGGGTTAATAAACATCGGGTTGCACAACTATATCCATAGTTTAATTACCAATATGTGTCTTTCTCGATCGTTGCGCTGGCTGCAGCATGAGCAAATGATGAAGATTTGATTTACCGCGGTTAACCAGCGTTAATGGAGGCGTCCCTTAATCACATGAATTCCCGTAATGGTTATCGTAACGATAGTATGCCGTTATCTCGCCGAGAGCGAGATAACAACTTGTTATTAAAAATACGCGCAATCGTCGCAATTGCACACGTGGTGTGCATTTCGCTTTTTTAAAGTTACGTAATTTAATTAATCGACGTTATTAAAGGTAAAATTATATGTGTGCGCCGCTGCGACTTAATTACCGAGATAACATGCCGATGTTCTTACAATGACAGCGAATAATGTATCAAGTGTTATGAAGCTAATCAATCCTGCTTGTAACATCAATCCCACTTATAATTCTCATAAAAGCGCATGCTTAAGTTTAGCATCCTCCAGAAGAGATTGTGAGTTCCTTATCGAGCCATTTATGAGGCCAAGGGCAAAAATTCCACATTGTTCCGCGTCTTACACGTGTAGCAGGCTTGGTATACGTATTGTTAGAGTATTTTTCTATCTTATTTTTCATCCGAGTGACGCATGAATAAAATCTGTTTCTGCAGTACGATTTACTTTGGAATTGATACACAAGTCTTTTTTGTATAAGAACATAATAAATACGACGTGAAGTCGCTTTACCTTGTAATTATCGTCGTGATGCCAGGATGCGCGAAAATGCTGAAATTTAATGATTTTATGAATAACTCGCAAAATAAGCGAGAAACCAAAAAAACGAGACAAAAATTCAATTGTCTGCAGTGTTGCCAGATATGAATGCAAATTCGAAAATTAAGGAAATGTATGCGGCCAATTAGCTTGCAAATATGTTCGACGCAGCTTTAATTCGTGCGGCCTAATCGATTCGAAACTTACGCCTACCAGCAGAAATTGGGTCAGTTTACAGAGAGTAACCTGCTTTTAATCAATACAACGCAATATCCGTATTGAAAGTAGATCTGGATCGGACATTCCCGACCCGAATGATCGACAGTGTTGTGACAATGCTGCGCTTATTCCGTCTGCTAATTTCCGCCGATTCCATCATAGCGCGAAAGCAGAGAGAAGCGAAGTCGCCATATTCTTTGTAAAACTTTATCGCGGCACTTATCGATTCTTATATGTATAAATAGTGTTAAAGCTGTTGCTTTCGTACTGGAAGAGTGATATACATGCGCCATTGCACACAAGTCACGATATTAGCAACACGATGCCAAAGACAATGTCGCGTTGATGGGACATCATGCACGTATCGTTTTAACTTCGAGACGTGCCATGCCTTTTGAAAGCTCATTATTCACGTACACATTCGAGGTATGATTCGATTCGAGTGCAGTACAGTTTATCGGAATGCTGCGCAATCAGTAGTCAACGGTACGTACATCTTGACATCAAATTTCAAAATGCTGTTGCTTTAGTTTCTGCTAATCACATTTTGTAAATGTATTTTCAACTGTTGTTATAAATTTAACAAATTAGTTTTCAGCATTTGAATAATATTTCATCTTTAATTTAATATTAAGTTAAACAATATTAACGATCCATCCTGTTAAGCTTGCGGTTTGAATCGCTTCGACGACACGAGCGCAATTGATCTTTTGAGGAACCCGCGTGCGTGTAATACTGTTAGCGTGGCTTAATGTCACGTAAATTGTAAGCTGCGAATTTAAGCTCGACTTTTTACACGAACGGCTTGATGTTGCAGCGTCGAATTTCCCCGGCGATGCTGGTGCACGAAAGCACCGCGGGCGGTATATCTGTATCTTCAAACACCTGTTAGCAGTCGCTCTCGAGTGGGCGGCTCGCCACATCGCCTTTAAAGCCGCGGGCGTCGCGAACACTCCGAATTCCTGCGAGCCGGTCGGAAGCCGAGCGAGCGAGCGAGCAAAACGCGACCTTGATCACCACACCTGACAGCACGGGGCGCACTTATCTTACCGCGACATTTCCCGGTGCATAAAAAAAATATAAGTTATCAACTTTCTTACCGGTATGTCCTTGCAGAGAGTAATTCGCTTCCTCGCTCGGCACAACGGTCTCTTCGAGGACGCTCTCCGACGCTGTCTTAATGATTCCCATCCTCGATGCTTGGATGCTGCAAACTGACTGTGCGAGCGGACCGACACGACGGGGTGGGCTTAAAGCTGCGTCCTACGGCGATTATCTCGTCTCGATTGTGCCGCGTTGTCTGGCGTCGCCGGAATGCTCGGCGCCGTTTCGTTCACTTATTGCGTCTGCGTTCGCGCCTGCGTCCATCCCCCTCGCCGGCCCCCTCACCTCGCCCTTCGCGACCCTCGCATCCCCCGTTGCCATAGCCGCCCCTCATCCCCGCGAAGTCGTCACAGGAGCAAGGCTATCCCTCTAGGCCAGGGTGAGCGCGATAGGCAGGAGAAATTGTGGCGTAGCGGCGAGCGGCGGTGATGGTGGTGGTAGTGATAGTGACAGCAGTAGTAGTAGTAGTAGTGACGGTGTCCTCTTTACGCCGTGGCGAGACGACGGGGGTTGTTGCTGCTGCTGCTGCTGCTGCTGCTGGCTCTACCGCTGCCGCTGCTACCGCTGTTGCTCGTGACGGCTCGGTACTACCAACGCCGCTCCTGCCCCGCTGTAGGGCGGGGTGCGGCGAGCACACGGCACAGGGGCAATGTCGACCTACCTGGGTCTCGGTGAAGGTCTCCGTTGGTTACTCGTGCCAGATAATACTTCCCTTTTGCGCGCCGTCCTCACCCGCGCGCTCTTTACACGGCGCACCCTTTCTCTCTCCCTTTCACTTCTCGTTTTTCTCCTCTGATTTCTTCCCTCGCCCCGCGCGATCTGCGTTTTATTTTAGCCTGTTAATTTGTACGCTTCGCGGTATTCCGCCGATGTTAGCTTCCGATTATTCGTCACTTGTTGCGATGACATACGTATTACATTGCGAATTCAATTTGTACGTCAAAAATCTAAAAAAAAATGGAAGAAAAAAATGTTGCAGCGTTTTATTATTGACTTTCTTTATAATACACCTGCCATTGTTCACGTCTGAGTTTCATCTTTTTCAACACAGGTGAACGTAAAAGAAACGTGAGCAATGTAATATTTAAATAACATGTTAGTATGCGTCTTCAATCTTTCTCTATTGCATTAAACGCTTGTATAAACTTTGGATAATAATAAAGTTGTAGAAATATGTTAAGCAATAAGAATAATATTGCATTTACTTTACTTATTTAAATCGCAATGCATTCTCTTATTAAATTTTTCAAACTTTATTTTTGCTCTGCTTCAAAATGTTCTTTTCGACATTCGATTTTATGTCATTTTCAGCACTTTGCGTTTCAAATAGTCATATTTTATTATTCTTGGAATAAATGAATTTCATTTTACCTTTTTTGAGTTTTTTGAAAGCTCACAATCAGTAAAATGCGCATGAAACTTGAATATATTCCTCTACGCATACCAAAAATCCGGGACTCTCGGTCGAAGCGTTTGCAACACGTGTTTGCCCTTGATACTCTCCCACAACTGGCGAGGGGGTGTCTCGCGTCGTACGCAAGAGGCGATCGTTAAATCACACCCTTCACCATGCATTCGCGCTAGAGATTTCTGAATCCCGGATCACCGGTTATTTACACTATGATGTCTTAAGTAGCCCAGCATCCAGCTTAACGCGCCAGCGTCTACTCGCCTCGTCTGACTCATCGCTTCGTTCGCAAGTGTGCGACACCTGCGTCATCGGCTTCTCTTCCGCTTTATTGAGTGCACCGCCTCTGATCGCGGCTAAAGCCTTTTCGCCCCTTCAAACGGCCTTTCTAAGTCTCATAATACACTGACAGACGGAATTGCATTCACGCAGATATCTCAAGTTGCGAGAACTTGTACGGGAAACCTTGTCGAGCTCTTGCTGTTATACCTGAATAAAGACGCAATGTCGACTCGCGTTAGAATACGAGAAGCATCGAGGTCTTGCGAATGCCGTTGCATTTTATAGGATTAAATTTCCACGTTTATATATGAAATTATGCGACGTACACATGTAAAAGTCAATATAATGTAAATAAAGTAATAAATGCATAATTGTGCTAGCGAAGAAAGGAAACAATCTGTTCTAACTAATTCAATATAAATATGGATTAATACGTAAATAATATCTTTCAGCGTAGTCTCATCTCAATGTCACATTAAAACAGTAAATTTAACATTTCAAATTATATTGATATAGAATTAATGTATATTATATTCACATTAATCAGCACATAATGTAGCAAATCAATAATATAGTAATTATCATACGAATAATCATATTTAAATAATCATATATCATATTTAAATAATATACATTAATTAAAAAATATTTATTAAATCTTCTTACTTTGATTATTTCTCTCGAAAACTTGTTCAATTATTATACAATAAATAGTATATATATTTTTTTTATCATAATTATAAATTATATAATCATATATCACATTATTATAATAAAAAAAAAGAAAAAAAGTACTACCTCATGCTTTTAAGTTAATTACATTTCCGTGTTTATACTCGTACGTACACAGCATATTCATCTTCCTCCAAAATTTCGTAACAGAATAAGATGGATAGGTTGACTTTCATCCTTTTCAAAGTTACAAAACGTCGTAGGAGAGTCGCACGTGTAGGTGTCCTTGTCTGTAAAACTTGTTGCACGCAATACCGCGTTGCAAACAGTCATTTTCACTCGACCACAATTTTGCATGGTGTCCTGTTTCTATTATTCCAAATAAAGCTTGTTCTTTATTATTCCACGGTTAATCAGTGTGCGCAGATTTCAAGAATTTCGCCATTCGTAACTGCGCTATTCTTCTCCAGTAATCTCTAACTCTTCAGAAAAGGCGATTTTGATTCTTTCAACAATGCTGGCATTCAAGATTATTTATTTCACAATATATACTGATAATATAAATCATTTTATATGCAGTTGTTCGTTTAATAATGTTAATATATCGCTTTTTAAAAATAACATTGCATATTAATGATCATAATTGTTGCATCCACGTGTCTCTATGCTGTAGCAAAATATTAAACAATATCCATCGTGCTTTTGATACAATTCATTTTCCTACGTAAAGGCGAGGTCAGAAAATATTTTATGAAATGTTGCAATAATGTGAAATCCTGCACGTGGTTTTGCATATGAAAGAACAAATATTCAAAATCCGGCGTCGAACATTAATAATCGTTTTCATTTTCCACACTGCGCATGAAATTCGTTAGTTTATTTCAAACTTATAGTCGTTTATACGCATTTCATACCACAGTGGTTCAAGAAGACTATTTTTCAATCGATGTATCATATAAAAGAGTTGGAACTGTAATGATTGAGACAGCTGTATAATGTAATAGTATCGAATTCTTATGTACTAATATATCTTATTTATTGGAAAATGTTACCGTGTATCCACGTGCATCCATTTCTAAATCTATAAACATATGCGTGTCCCGGTTGGCAGACCGACGATCGATTTGAATTGACTATATAGCTGGCTTCAATAGCACGTCTCTTCGGAATACATGTATGGAATACGTGGAATTGTATCCGATAGATACATATGAACTTGCATTCGCGGCCTTAAGTTTGAGAGACATAAGAAGTTATGATATCAAGTATGTAAATTTACATCCTGCGACAGAAATAGAAACAATATTATTTTTAAAGATTGGAAAACGTATTTATTAAACATGATAAACAAAGAAAATGGTCGACAACTTAAACGGTCGGAGAATTGTTGATAAAAATAAAAAACTGAAATAAAGAATTACGTCAATTTTGTACGAAAATTTACATCAAAGCAGTTATATATGGTTAAAAGAAATTACTTTTTTTCCAATTGACACCCAACCAACCGATTAATTTCCTGTTCGTCCGTTTTTCTAAAACGGTGGTGACGATATCGATTTAACTTGTTGCATATGTAAACAAAGATAACTAATCCGATACCGCGCTTGGCTGCTTTAATGTAGTTTATGTTAAATTATCAGAAAGCGTAATTGTATCGAAAAATCGAAAGTGTACATCAGCTGGTGCGACTATCCCTGGAAAAGTAGAATAAGTATGTTATACAGGCTGAAATAAAGAACGATTTTATATTCAACCTAGTAATTTCTATCTCGACGTCAGGAAGCAAAAGTGCGTACGCAAATGGCATTACGCGAGAACTGCATAGCGCGTTCACTTAACGCCATTTTGTAATTAATTAGTAAGGCGTATTAATACGCCTAAACATTTATGAATATATACTATAAATATACACGCGAACAATAGTTATATATACCGAATTTTCATAGCAATCTGTTTTGCTCTATTTCTCAAAGCATCTTGGTTTACTTTTACTATGATCGTGTTATTGAGGACTGTAGATAATTAAATGCAATAGAGCATAAAACGTCCGTTTCGACTGAATACTACAAACTTTACGTTTAGTTCTGTTCTCGAAGCGTGAGAATGCTTTTCTCATAAAGTATTCACATGTACTTCTTCATTAATGAAGTTTTTAGACTTGTTTGTGAGAAATAACGTCTGCAAATAATTATTGAAGTCTAAAAGCTTATACAATTGGTTCTACTATTATTATTGGTTCTTTTGTATGAAAAGATAAGTATGAGGGCGTCATATAAATACAATTTTTTATCATTAAAAACGTTTTCTTTCACGCTCTATTTAATCATTATGACGCGTCAAACGTGAGAGCAATTGCATGGCACACTGTTGTTTTGCACCTATTTAATTAGATCACGGACAAAGTGAAAGTACATTTAATCCAGAACAGTCAGCTTATCCCGATTGCTATGACAACTCAAGAGCTATTACAATTAATTCTAAAGTTTTATCGAACATAATTCCGCGATACAAGCAACGCAAAATTGAGGTGGAAAATTTCAGCGGATTTTTAATCCGAGGAGGAGGGACAGATGAAAAACCTCTATAATTCCAGTGGCGGTTTCTCGGATTCAGGAAGGAGTGAGATACACAAAATTACAAAACTTTACACAAAGTTTTATTAACCGATATCTTACAACATGTGACAGCGCAGCTAGTTAGTGTCTGTATGCGTTCCGTGTATGTCTTTGCTTAAGGCATAGCATTAATATATATCTCTCGTAGCACCTTAAATAGAGATGTAAGTTAGTAGAAGATGGTCATAGATTAAAAGTAGTGATTTGAGCAGGTGTACGCAAGGTAAGTTCCGTCGCGGGACTCCTTCAGCAATGCGGGCAGCGTATCATACCGAAAACGTCACACTTGGCGCATTTTAGGGCGACAAATTCCACTGTGAACTCGTTGCGATGCACGGACCTCTTGCTGCCGTGACAGACCGGGCACAGCAGCCGCTGGAATCCGCCGCAATAGGTACAAACAGCGCACGCATCCTTACACTGAAACGAAAATGTTTCGCAATGTAATGAATTAAACACATTACGGAATTAGCGATAATTGTTTGTTGCGGTGGTTGAGCGATGTTAGCGCTGTATAACTTCCATCGAAGCAGCACGCGGCAGTTATACGCGGAGAAATTCTCCACATGCTGCGAAGCGAGCATGTTTCTATGTGGAGTGTTCTGTGTATTTGCTCGTCGGTTTGCACTCGGAAAATATCCCTGTAAATGGCGACCGTGATCTGATTCAACTGGAAGTCAATTTGATCATACCTTTCTCTATTGCGTGATTGCACACTGCGCTAATTCTATCGGTCTGCCATGCAAATCGGAAGTTACTCAAAGTATCGTGAAACAATTAAAAATATTTTTAGCTAATTTAAATTTTGCGCTTTTACTGTGTTGGATAAATTTCATTTTAGAGTAAACAGATTTCAAGCCATAGTGTTTGCTGCTTTAAAATTTCACTTTTATTTGAAACTGGAACTTTAAACACATAAATATAATAATATAAAGAAATAAAACCAATGTGTCATAAAATATTTCCATTATTTCTTTGATGCTTTATTGACTTTTGCAACAATTTGAGGATTCTTTAAAATCTTTTACGTGCTAATTAAATATACTAATGACTTGCTGATACACTTGATAATATGAGTGTTAAAAATCACAAATAAATTTCGCGCGTCCGTGCAAACCTTCTATCGAGCCTTATTCGGCGTTACGAAACTGTAGTTTTCGCTTTCACTTTTACTTGCTACTAACTGTGAGTCTAATACCTGAAATGTAAATCAACTTTACAGAGTACATAACAAGTTTGGATGGGCTAATAGATTGCTCTCCTGAATAAATGTTAGATTTTATATTCAAATAAGTGCGAGAAACGCGATAAATATACGGAAATAAAAAAAAATAAATTAATAAACTTTGTAAGTAACTATATAATTAATGTACCGTCAATTAATTAATTTTTCCACTTGCTCAGAGATGTAAACATGATTTTAAGAAAAATTAAAAAACTGTATTGCATTGTTAATACGTCACTCAAAAAAATATTTCGCTGATGTAGTTAGATTTCTAGATATCGCAACAAGAATGTATCGCTATTTTTCGTATCTGTGAAAACATTGTTTGTCAAATATAGAATTTATAGCAGTAATGTTCTAGCAATAGCTTCTGAAAAATTTAGGTACCATTGCTAAATGTTATTCATTGCATGATCTAACACGTGATTGATCTTATATAGATAGGCGCTTTAGAGAAACTTTCTTTTAAAGTTCACAAACAATACAGATATATATTCTGTTTCTGTCATCTAAACTAATTAAGTAATTACATATGCAATATCACAACAGTTGCTAATCATTTATCTGTTTTAGTTAATTTTTTACACCTAGAAAATTTTAGCTATTATTGCAAGATCATTTTTTTGAGTGGTTGTATTATTTAAAAATATTATTTTTTAATCTTTTTCGCACACAAATCTGCATCTTAATCAGTTTTAGATGCTTTTATCGCTATATTTGCAACAAGGAAATGATTAATTCATATAAGAAACGAAATAGAAGCGATACACATGGATATAAATCCGGGGAGTTTATATGTATAACAGCGCCGTTGTGTGGCATGCGCGACAAAAGCAACAATAATGGCATGAATGTAAACGACCTTTGGTTGCAGCAAGGTAAACCTGAACTACACGACACCGAAATTTATGATCACGATCGGAAAGGAGGCGGCGATTGGGGAGAGAGAGGGACACGTACTCCCGGATAAAAGTGAAAGGACTGTGCAACCTTGCCTTCACAACTGCTTGTGTTGTATGTATGTGTTTCATCACAGTCCGCTGTACTGTCTACCTTAGATAGTTGATTCCGCGTAGAATAAATGCATCGCGAGACGCAATCATGCGAATTATTCGCATCTTGATGATATTCTTGCGGTAGCATCTAAATCCCGGAATATCAAATAGCTTTTTTCGCGCCCTAAATATCAACTACATTCATTAACTGTTTCTTCGAAGCTAGAAACGAGAACGATAACAATGAACGCAGACGTCCGAGGTTTTAATTAATCGACCAAGAATACATTTTGTTATATAAATTCTTTTTATAAAATTATAGAATACTATTTTCCACGCGACTGTAATTGTAATCGTAATTAATTCGAGTCCGCACGGAATTGTTACGAGTGTGTATAATTAGAGCTTGATAATATCATTTGACGTCAGAACTAAAAGTTCTGCAAGTAATCTGAATTTATAATAAACGCGGAAGTTATGCACATAGCTCTCTTCGACTTGAAGTAATTTAATTAGTTATTCTTATGAAACTGTACGCGAATTTATTAACTGATATGTTACGGCTCGTGATTATTAAAATTAGCGTCTGGCAATATTTTTATGCACAATTCGCACTGAAATTGCTTGGACGATGATGTGCTCAGCATATTAAATGTGACGCCAATAAATCGATGAACTCCGATGATAAATTATTATTTCCACGCTTCGGCGAATAGCGTATCCGTGTTAAGGTACAGCTCGAGGCAATGAGAAAATATTAAAGATACGCTACGATCTACACGACGTTCGGCAAATTCTCAACTCACCTGGTAAGGTTCCAGTATGCGGCGTAATTCTCCTGACTCGTTAAGCCGCTCGACGGTGTCGACACCCTGTAACGAGTAAAAAAAAATTGTGAAACGCAGTTAATAGTACGATATTTAAACCGCCCGAGTTGTTAGGAGCTTTTTTTCCCGTCTCACTCATTTCGTCTATTATTACACGGCTGTGCCGTAAACGGTATATCTCTCGTAAGCGTCAAAAAGTTTCTGTTAAATCGAAGAAAATCGTGGAGTATCTGAGACACACCTCGAGAACATCCACGGCCCGTCGTCGAGGAATGCGGCTGCACGAAAGAATTTTATCGTCTTCGTCGGTCTGCTTCGGGTAACCATAGCTATGCGCGTCCGGCGTAATGGTTGTATCATGCATTTTCATGCCATTGCTAATGAGGCTCTTAATAAAGCACGCAATACCTAGTTTGCAGGTTTGACGCGCCGCTAATTTATTCAAATGACAGATTTTGTACGTTGTTTCTCATGCTGGAAAATTATCCCTTAAACTATAAACGATAATACTATACAAAAAAAAAAACATAGAAATAAAATCCTAAAAATCCTATAATATTAAAAAAAATATTTAATTATATCGAAGACATGTTTCCTTAGATAGAATTTTCCAGATAGCGTGTATTGCGCATTTTTGTGGGATAAAATCCCACAAACTAAAAAATACGACATTCCGTAAGTGCTTGTACGTGCGTGTGCACGTCTTGTAATCTCATATCTGATGTAACGTAATACAAGTTTTATGGCGACTGTAGTTACAGCGGTGTACTCCTTTCACCAAACACGACGTGAATTGTTAAACTGCCAAACGTGTGAAGATGAGCAAGAGTGAAAGCAAGACAATTGATGGAAATGTAGACGAAGAAAAGAGATGACGTTCCACTGATTTTCGGCGACGATCGGAGGCGTTTCGAGATAATTGCATGACGCGGTCGGATAGGAATGCAGTTCGCGTAGCTTTACGTGTGTACACTTGTGCTAGACACCAGCGACTATAAGGCGGTGTAACGCAGGCAATCTCACCTCGCGTTCTCTCCGACGGCCTTGGATCAAATAGCTTGACATTTCACTTACGCATATATCTGCTCTCCCAACTATCAGTTGCTGGAAGTAACTCTCTCGCGAACGGATACCGCGACGGAGACGAGAAAATCAAATAACGGCATGACTTTTACAGCTAAAGGTGTGTCGTTTATACAGTATGTGCATTTTTTGTTGGGAGGAATAACATTAAGTAGTCGGAAAGATTCCTGAAGAAAATCGATGTAAGTATTCCCCAACGGAAAATTTATATATATTTAATTTTTTTAAATACTTTAATTTAAAGAATAATTATAATAATTATAATTAAACGTACAATCTAACGTCTATCAAATATTGTTGCATATGTAAAGATTATCAGCTTAATTTTGTAAACAAAATTTGTAAGTTTCAATTTTTCTTTCAAAAACAGACCGAATCACATGCTATAAAAAATTCTACTCTACAGAGTGTTCTAAAAATACTAGAGTTATATACAATTAATGTCTATCTATTATATACACGTATGCGATTCATGATTTAAACGAATTGACGTCATCGAGTGGGAAAAGTGCGTAAACATATCTAAAAATCATGAATCGCGAACATCTTTACTATTACACATCGCAATAAAGTCGACGTGTTCTTTTATGACACCATAAAGGCATCTTGTGCTGTATATGATGATATGAACTTGTATTACTTCCATCATAAATGAGAACAATTACGAACTATATACAATGCGGGCATATGTCGGTTTACTATAGTCATTCCCAAGTGCTATAACGTTTAAGCGACCACTAGAATAGCAATTGTATGTTGTCACTAATTTTTAATAGCTCCTCGTGGATTAGGTAATCTTTATTATGACTCAAAATTTAATTGAATCAATAACCATCGCAGATCAAAATGCGTTTAATCATTCTATCAAAAAATTCCTGATTGAAATTATTGAAATTGAGGAAAGGTATCGATCAATATGTAAATAATATATAAATTTTATCAAAAATTGCATTTTTTGCAGAAAACCAATGCACTATACAAAAATCGTATATTTCATATATTAAATCATTTTTTATATTGTCTTTGACTCGTGTCTAACATTTCTTCGTCTTTCAGTAACAATATCACGGAAAATGCAATGCAAGGAAACCTGTGAAAGACGACACTCTGCACCTGAGAATTGCATGCTGAAACAATATACTTTACTACCTTCGCTATCGTATGTTTTGTCACTGTATATAAATATACTGTTCCAAAGGTATAATTATTTTAAAATAAAAACTTTTACATTAATTTATATTCTCATGTAAGCATTCTATTGTTCGTATATAATAGTCAATTATTGCACCTATATATATTTTACGTAATATGAAAACAATAATTTTTATTATACGGTGAATTTAATTCAATTTCGTGTACATTTCCTTTTATTTGATTCGTCAATTTACAACATTTCTATGAATCAAACACAATCCGACTTCAAATCTTCGTCCGTAGATTCATTCAATTTTCATTCATCAGTCGACAGTTATCTCTGACATTTCACGTCATCTAGTCTCTCGACTTTCTCGATATCAAATATTCCCGATTACGTAACGTGTTATCGGCCTTGTATAAATTCCTTGCAAGGCGTAAGAGGATGGATTCGAAGGGATCATGGATTACTCGTAATGAACGCTAGTAAGTGCGCACTATAACTTTTCTTATTAGAAGTTATTCTACTCTTGTATCTGTGAAAGGAGAGAAAGATCGATACTGCTAAGAACAGAATAACTTTGACGAATGCCAAACGCAGATGACGGAACGTTCAATACCAACCGCTCACGTTTTATTATATAACTTTCTATATCAAACGTATATATATCGAGAGTATATTTTGAAATAACAAAATACAATTTTTTTACGTTAGACATTTTAGAGATAAAAATACGATAGATAAATTAATATATATTTATATAATAAAATATTAATATAGTAATTATATAAATGTAAACATAAATATAAATATTTTTAAATTGAATAAGATATCTCTAAAAGCAATGTAGATTTTCGTAGCTTTACAGCAGAACAAATGATTTATCAAATTATTTGTCAAGTTTTTCGTAAAATTTTCTTAACGCATAGAATTTTTATTCAATTTAATTTTTAGTTTTCAACATAAATTTTCTAAAAACTAATATATATATAATTCTTAGTCTATTCTATTCTTCTATTTCTAGTTCAATCAAATTGTCAGTCAAATTGTTTGAATTAAATTCGTCACATTAATAAAATAAATAGTTCAATTAATATATTCTTTAAAAAGTTTTAATGTGTGTGTGTGTGTGTGTGTGATCGTTTTCCGAAATCTATCGCAATTTCAAAATCACAATTTTCTTAACATATAACATATGAGAATGTCTACATACCCCAATATGTTGACCATCGACGAAAAGTTGCGGCAATGTTACGACTTCGGAATTGGTTCGATCCCTGAGTTCGGTCTGTAATTCCGTATCGCGGAATAAATCCGCTTCATCATACTTGACCATGTTCGTCCACAACATTTGTTTCATCTTCATACAATTGGTAAAGGTCTCTCTAACGATGCCCAACGATGTTGTGTAGAGCACCACTCTGCCCTTTTCTCTTTCTACATAAGCCTGAAACAGGATGTAATAATATCATCATACATTGTAAAAAAACTTAGTGTAAAAATTTTAATTTTATTGAAAAAATTCCATAAAAATCTGCAATGATAAGATTACGAGACTATTTACATTACCTTGAAGGTAGTATTATATTTAACGGGCTTATAATTTTAAATATTACTTTATTAATATAGCGTCATCATAAGAGTAAACAAACGACAAGAACATTCGTAAAATCAGCCAAGTTTCCTAAGTGCTTTTAACGTTTCAAACATGAAATTCCAACTTTTTTCTTTATCGGTAATCAATTCTTAGATAAACATGGGCGATAATTTTCGCGCAGAAGATAATCCTTTTCATACAGTTCGACGATTCTATCACACGGCATTCGACTTTTCCATTGTTCAACAATGTGTGCGTTCAACGGCAATTCCTTCGATACAATCGATTTCATTGGCACGTGCATAAACCATTGGAACTATATGCGTCAGGATAATCCGTGCGTTGAATAAAGGGAAGCCAATTATACCGTATTTATCGTGTAATATTCGTGAAAATGTAATTCTTATCGCATCAGTTACATATTTGTTCATTTAAATATTCATACTGCCATATCAGAATTGACTTGGTTGATAGAGAGAAACGGTGTTTTTTTTTTAAATTACTCAACCAAATTATTACAATTGCTAAAATGTCGTACTTTGTTATGACACAATGTTATATTAGTTTGCAGAAATCGCATACTCGAAATGAATGCAATTCGCGAATTTGTAAAAGACAGATATCTCTTGGATGCAATCTCCGCGGTAATCTAGCTGCCTGTTGAATTGCCTGCTTCTTGTAATGCCTAATACACTTCTCAGGTAAATTACATAACGTCGTTTAACCAGCCTTCTCGAGATAGACGCAGAATAAGAAAGAGCAGGCGGCGGCAGACGAGATAGCGAAAGGAAGGGGAAATGATCATATTAAATTAGCTTTCACCGTGCAAAAGTGGCATGGTAATTCAGTGTCGCGCATAATGTCAATACCGATTTTCCATCTGCAAAGAATTCTGCGTAATTTCTGGAATGTATTAACAATGCATGATTAGCAAAGTCGCATAAATACTTTAATAACTACATTAAAGCGTTTCAATATAAGCTCTTTATGCTTTTTATTGCAACTCGTGTAAATACATCATCAAATAAATTGCTCGGTATAAAAAAGGCAACTCAGGCAAACTAAAGGCAAAAAAGGGACTATCGCTCTTTTATTAACGTTATCACCCTCCATATAAAAACTCTATGTCGCCATTTATCGCGGTTAAGGTATAACGTGCGATATGTGTTCACGTCTTATAAAGAATATTCGTTAAAAATGTGTTTTGACCACACGACTGAAACTTTCTACATTTTATTAGTCGTGTCAAATATATCAATGTTTCGTTAGAAATTTTCAAAGTAAAAACGAAATCTTGCACGAAAGTATCAATTTATCGTAAATTTATTCAATTCGGTAGTTTCAATCCGTGGAATTTGCTGAGTTTGTTACAATTTTCGCTGCCGATGTCGCCATTTCACGCATATGCGGAACGATCACGTCCGATCAGCGTTATAGATCACCACGTGCTCGCTCGACACGATTGCTAATGAATGTACTTCAACGAGGAAACCGGACTCGTCGTACCAGGTGCATGATCTGCACGATAAAAGCATATTATCAACGTAGAGGTGTGCGCGGCGTAAGATCTCGGCTAAACCATTACGAACTTTTTGCTAACCTACTTGTTTCCTACCGATACCCGTTACCTTACTCAAATGACACGTGCGATAATTACCTCCGATCATAATTACATACCGTCCTGAAAAAGGCAAAGTCGATACGGCTACGTACACGCGAACCAGGTGGCCTAACAAAGTGCCAAGCCATTCACACCGTAAGAAATACAAAGTGACGGAGAATGAACTCCTTCCGCACGCATTACACGCCATGAAAGATAAACTAAAACATTAATTGGAGCTTATTACTGCACGGCAAAATCCACCTCGTCATTGATTTTATATTACTCTAATACGAGAAAGTTATTTCTTTCATAATGTCACTATTCATTATGTAAATATTAATATCGTTCAACAAATCAAGATATTGAGCACTCTCTCGGTGAGATGCTATTTGAATGGTAATTGCTACGTGTGTGATTCAAGGCCGCGTTGTAAGTTTTCTGAAAAATAAAGGCGAGAAATGAAACGGCCTCGACTCCCCGGCATGTCCTTCCTCTGACGGCTATTAATTTCGCTGCATTGGATTTTGCGGTATGTGAAAAAAATTTGACAAGGTCGCCCATTTCCTTGCTGTCTAGGTTTGCACGACTTACTTTTTTTTGGCTTCGCGTATCACAAAGTATACACAAAACGCTCGCAATATATTTCTTAATTATATCTCTATATTAGCAATTATATTCTCCGTTAAAAAGATGATCACCAGTTAGCCAGTTTGGACATTTTTTTATTTCGTATATGAGTATTAAGAATGCAGAGGCATGTTTTTGTCGCGTGACGGATGAGAAGAGGGGACTCTTGTGAGAAAATAATTTATCCATCATGTGGCTTCTTGTGACAACAGAACGTGTGTGAAGCTGAGTGCGGGTCATACAAGGTGAATAATTTTTTGTGCGTCTCAACGATCCGACAGAACATTATCCACGCTCCGTAAATCTTATAATCCAACAGGGATCTCTTCTAATAGTACGAGCATGATGAAAGACATACTATAGGTTTGCAAAATCGCATTGTGTAGTATGTTGGAGTAAAAGAAAATGCATGAAAGGCTTTTTGTAAAGATTATTAATACTTTTTTTGGCGCATACTGCTGGATTCTTCGGCAAGCTCGCGTCGTCCTGAAAGGTTTCTCGCTCGAAACCTAAAAAGTTTTGAAAATGTGGATTGAAATATAAAGAAAATGGAATCAAAGTATAAGAAATAAAAAAATTGAGGAACAAAAGCATATATAACAACGTAGATAAATAAATATAAAAAATAAAAATGTATATAAATAACTACATATATATATAAAAACACCGCTTTTGCATTTCTTTAGAAAATTGACACGAATTCTTCGGATAATCCATTATGATTACTTCCTAACAATTTAAGTAGCTGTAAGAAGCATATTCCTTTAACTTGTTAAAATCTTCATGCTCGTCTCTATGCAATTTTATCATGGTTTTATAGTTTACTACGGTTTTATCCTAGGTCTATTTTAATACATGTTTTTTTTTAACAACTTTGATCATCGATTAGATGGAAATTAATCAGCCTTTCGATAATCTGCAATTGTCAGAGTTCTACTTTACCAAGTTATTAACAGTCCACAACGGAAGATTGAATAATCGTCAAGTTCAATTCAGCTTTGAGAATGTTGCATTGTATATAATTATCTTAATTAAATGTAAGTAATCGCGATATACATAACTCTTGCAGTTTAATGGGTTTCAATTTCACAGCACTATAATGCAGCACTGCTTAGAGGCATGCTCACTGCGTGCTCAAATACAAGATAATTTCACAAGCGTTTAATGAAAGTTGCACCTGGCCGTGCGCGTTACATACGGAACGAAGGCACGCTTTGAATTGGCAATTAATTGACGTAGAATGACTCTAGCCGGTAGACAAATCGAGGCGCCTCTGCTCGCTCAAAGACGATTTCTCCGTAACTGGAATAATGTTACAAGAGATCAGGTCGCCCACTGACCGAAATTTCGTGTATTAGAATCTCTTCCGCGATAAATACACGCAGTGTTTGAAAAATGTATTTCCCTCGACACGTGGCAGTTTACATCACGAGCAAGAAATATCTGTTATGAAGGGTAGTTGAACAAGCGTGAAATCAACTTAGCGGAGTTCCAATAGCATCGAACTCTCGTGCAGTGTTAATGCGGTGTAAAATTTACTTTCTCCCCATCGGCTGTTTAATGTTAATGTCAAAATTTGTCTCGTCGCCGATCGCCAGAATCGTTCCGCATCGGCGAATTCAATCGCTGATCGTCTAATCTGCATGTTGACATGACGACGATTGCGAGTGCAGCCAACGATCGCGGCAAAATCAACGGTAGTCGTTCTACGCGATTCAATTTCTACAGAGTGGGAGGCGTAATGGAAGCCGCGACGTACTCCGTTATTTCAGTAATAATAGTCTCGTGTGCCATACGACTTTCACGACGCATTCATACGAGAACGAGATTCGAACGCGGAATCGAAGCCGAGGAGAAACCAGAAATGGATACACGCGAATGAAGCGCGACGTGGTCGCCGAGGTAGACGGCGACGATACAATCACCTCAAGTTCTCACGTACGGTGTCGTGATTGCACAAGACGATTGGCATGTTCGCGGAGACATCGCGATCAACATTGGCGCGGCATGTTGACCAGACGATCGAGGCAAATGTGTAAAAAGGTGAAAGCGCATATGCACCTGTAACGCCTAAGCGAACCGCCGCGGGGGGTTTCAACTACAATCCGGCATACAAGACAAACACTTTCACGCGCGCATTGGCACACACGTAAAGATATATACGCTTAAACGCACGACTTTAGATCGCGTCATATCTCGGATGTCTCGTTTTACTTTGCACGTGCGGCTTCAATTGCGCAATGGCGCGCTTGCTCTTTCTGACAGCGCAGATAATAAAAAATCGTGGGCTTTGGCACAATGAAACATACCGCGGACGTGACCGATGCATAAAAAAATATTGCGCCGTTTCTCAACCGGTGGAACGTCATCGCGATTCAATCGGTTCCCGATGACATAAACGCCGAGGAAAAAAAGTGGCTTGCCTGTCACATATGCGATGTATCAAGTGTTTACATTGCCGCGCGCATTGCGGTGATGTCAGACGGGATCTGACCTTTGTCGGGATAATCGATGCAAATGCACCGGCGTCCGATGACTGCATTCTACCGAGTTCCTCCTCCGCTAAGGCCTGCACGAGCGTGATGTAATTTCACGTGCATTTTCCGCCGTAGTCGCAGCG